GGCTTCTGGCTTTTAACACAGCAATAATTAAGCTAATTTTACTGAAATCATTTTCACTTAATCTTCTGTGAATTTGAAATGAACACTTTTCATAGTAATTTCACAAAAAATATTCCCTTTTAAATGCTAATGATTAATAGGGAGTGAAGTAGAGTGTTACATATACTCTTAACAGCACTGGGGAATATCATGCCATGGCACTGCCTAGAAATTGGTTTTATGGCAATCTGCACACTCTCCCCTCTAGCATTCATGATGGAAATGTACAAAATCATTAGTGCAATTCCTGCAGTATTGGAGAAGGCTTCCAAAAGTTTAGAGAGATGGTGGAATCCAAACTTTACTGTCCAAAGGGTAAATTCAAGTGGCAATACAGCCTTCAATAAGAAGTTTTGAACATATGAAGCACAGCAAGCAGTCTGGGCTGATTGGCCAACAGATTGGCTATTAATGATCTAAGATGAGAGAGCTGGAAATAAAGCACAATTAAGTAATTTCAAGGAATGCAAGTCAGTGGACTGGTGGTTAAACTGCTCATATATCCATGTTAATATTGGTGGACGTGTGAGCTCTGTGATTGATTGGAGTCATGCCCCGGTTTTCTGAAAGAAATGACAATTTAGTAGAGGTGTCTTCAATAACAGCATTTCCTTGAGTCCAGGTTACAAGGGTCTGCAGAGTCTGCGCTGTGTTCCCAAAAGTAGTGCAAGTCATCATTGACAGTTGGCACTCATTATCTCGTAGCATGCGGGGGTTTATTCAAGCTTTTGACCAGCTGAACCCTTCAGGATTATATTAAACATGGTTTTCACTGGAATCTGGGACTATTTTAATGTGGATGAAGGTTTTATACTTTGCAACTGATATAATTCAGACATTCAACATGAAAACGTTTATAAATATTAAAAGTTCTGTGAAACATCAAAATGAGATATCTGAATCCTCTTGAATAAATGGACCACATGAATTAAATTCTATTCCCAAAGATACTGGTCTGTTAGAAAGACCTCTATTAGAATGATAGAGTATGGTTTTCAGTATTAGCCAAGACTCAGTAGAAGGCATAATGGCATAATGCCTTTAACATAAGGACATGAAATTGTAAATGAAAGTGTACTGGTACACTGTGGCATTGTCCACCTTTGTTGAAAAGAAAGAAAAAAATAAATACATAAATCAGTACCTGCTCTCCTTCAGTGAATACCCTGTTCTCAAAACTCCAGGAGATGGTGGGTGTGGGGTCGCCTGAGGCCTCACAGGTCAGGGTGACTTGTTCGTCAAACTCGGAGGCAGTCTGGTTATTCAGGTAGGTTATCTTGGGTTGCACTAGAAACAAGACAAAAAACTAACTTAAACATGGTTTTCTAAACTCTGTTCTACTGATCAGGGCCACAAAAATGTTCACACAAGATAGTTGCTGCTAGTACTGTATCTGCTGCATTGGCTTTTAACTGTAAAACTGCGGGAATACGTTGTTTTTTTTTTGCTGCTGTAAGAAAAAAATCCATACTGTCACAGTTGTACAATGTTGTCCCTTGAAATTATATCACTGTCCTTCTACAACTGAATTCATTGATTTTTGGAAAAAGCTGGAAGCACACCAGTTTTATCCAATGACACTACCAAGTTGTAATGATGAATGGGCTGCAAATAATTGGCCACTTGGTAATTGTATTATAAGCACCAATCTCTGTTGTTTGGTGTTGGGCAGGAGTGTACAGTGGGTTTACCAGAGCGTTTTCGCTGAAAGAATCTGTCTGTTGCTGCTAGAAATGATCTGGATGGTGTTGGAGTTTGTGGACCGTAAAACCAAAACAGCAAGTTATAAGAGGCTAAAAAGCTCAGCAGAGTTGGCTGATAATTTTCTGTGGTTTTCATCACCATGAGTGACATCTTTCACATGATACATAGGTATTTCAGCAATGGTTAAAGCACTATTGTGGACAGACAGGCTTCATTAGAGTGTTATACCCCATTCACAAATAATAGAGCTGCAAGCACATGATTACGTAAGGCTGGTGCAAATTTCCTCATGAAGAGAAACTCCAGCGCGATATCTTTCAGTGTCCTGAGGGGTGGCTTAATTAGTTTCCAATAGGACATGCTTTTCTTTAAACTTTATGCTTCACGCTGTGTAACCCTGCACTCAGCCCCTGAAAAAGCTGTAGAGAAGTGTACAGCAAATGTCAATAAGTACAAAAGAAAAGGCCAGAGAGAGAAAAAGAGCCACAGTGTTCTTTATGCTATCGTAAGCGAATGGAGTTATTTTCTTACCAAACACGTTCAGGCTGACTTCCTCGGCTTTCTCTCCTGCCTTGTTCTTGGCGATGCAAGTGTAATCTCCTTCATCCACTTTCTTGACATCTTTTATTACCAATTCTGAACCATCCTCGTTCAGGCTGTACTTATCACCCGTTTCAAGGACAATGTTGTTACTGTAGAAGAGAGAAAAAGAGGAAAAAGACATGGTAAGGTGCACATCACAAGTGTTTGCTTACACAACTTGAGGGGCCTACAAATAACTTTTTCAACTCACTGACAATGATCTGTTGGGGGTTTTATCTCAGGGAGAGAGCAGCTGGCATACAACAAATGCCGGGAGACCAGAAGAGCTGTCCTGTGTCGTATGCCTCTGAGAACGTCTCCAGCATTTCCACAACTTTTGTTTGCCTCAGCGCTACTTTAGCCCTTACACCTGTGTTTATAAGAAGGTCATGCACCAACTTGAAGATGATGCATGCTTCTTGAGAAAACCGTCTTTCACTCTTGAGAGGCCGAAGTCTTCACTAGGGGGTTATGTTTGTGGATATTCACGTATTTGTATGCTTGGAGTTGAAGCCTTCCCAAAGCATTTTGCAGGCAGACAGTGAATGACAAATAACAAATAGAGCCTTACCCTTCAGTTTTTTCACTGCCTCACCCATCTGTCCTCCCTAAAACCTTACTGTCTATCCCAACTCTCTCCTGGCCTGGAACTGCATCTTCCTCAGCCTCAACACCCACATCACACACCAGCTTTGCTGCATGGAAGACAGCTGTGAGGAGCATCAGAGTGTTGAATAGTTTTATTCACTGGCATCTCTGCAAAACAACCTTATTCAAAAAATCCTCTGCACAGCGGTGGTGCTGCTGAGTGACGGCAGTAAATGATGCGCCATGAATATGAAAGTACATTGAGCAAACAGCTGTATGACGAGAAATGAATGTTGGTTATTTGTACTTGTCAAAACTGAGTGGTGATCAAGCATCACAAATTCATACTAAATAAAGTTACTTTAACAGCTAATGGTACTAAGTTTGTGTATAAAGTCATTACTCATTTCTGAGAAAGAACTCTGCTCAGTAGAGATTGTGGCTTTCTACCTATGGTTGGGTTCCTGTACGCTGGTTCTATTTGGGATTTTGTTCCAGTTTGGTCAAATACCATATTTAACCTCAGATGCCAAATAATATCTTATTGAAACGTCTTCTCCCTGTCTGTACCCTGCCAAAGATCACACCAATCTATATCATTAATATTTATTAATCGAGACCGGCAGTGTTTCGGGCAAGCAGCTTGTAAAAAATAGATGATCCTCTCAAGAAAACGTTAGCACAAGTCGTATGTTTACCTTATGTTTACCTAAACTGCTTCACAAGCGACCTCTAACAGCCATGTGAATCATGACTGTCGGGAAGTTGTTGTTGGCGTGTCCGGTGGATAGATAAACACAGACTGACTGACACTGTTATTGGTTGTTCTTGAGGGCAATGAGATTTGAGAATTTGTTGTTCAACTTGGAGAACTTACATTCATTGTAATTTACACACATTTGGCACGGGAGGCCTACACACTAGTCCTTTAAGTTAAACTTGAATAGATTTTATAAGTGGCATTTCACACATTTGACAGGACAGTAGAGGGAGACAGGAAAGGCAGGGGAGAAAGAGAGGATGACATACAGCAAATGGCCTTGGACTGAACTGAAACCCGGCCTTGAAACGTGGAACGTGCCCTACCCAGTGAGCTACTGGTGCACCCGATTCATTACTGTATTCAGATTCAGAAAAATGCTATCAAACCAGTAATGTAATGTGTAAATCAGATCTTAAGAAACACCAGCATCCAATTAAAATGCAGTCATCACTGTAAATATTGATATTGCTGCCGCATCATGACTTTCAGATCCAATGAAACCCAATTAACACAAATATGTTCCTCATTTTCTATCCCAACTCCTAGTTGCTGTAAGCTTAATATATTTTATATTTTTCGTAGAAAGCATATTCTTATTCTATCTGTTAGGCTCTATTAAATATATATATATCCTTTAAATCTCAGCTTTGTAGTAAGTTCTGACTAGGCCATGTAGTATAATGTTACAAGCAGCTGGTGCAACTGGCTGCAGATTCACCGGTTTACACCTGCATGAGTGCCTGCTGCACAAGCACACTGACCAGATCAAACTGGTATGCAATTTAAATAATATGTGCAGGATGGAAACCAGGCTAATAACACTCATCAAAGCCGTTTTGCACTTGTTACAGTCATGCTAATGTAAACACATGTAAATCTAATCATTTCTCCCACTCAACTATTTGTAGGCAAGGCCATGCAAATTCATATTTATTCCATATTTACAAACACTCTGCATCAACCAGCTCCATGTAATGTCTGTATGTGCACATGCAGTTCTGTGAAATGAGGCAAAAGCACAAAGAGTTTGACCAGAAAGGCTGCGAAAAGCAGGCACCATTACCTGCAAGAGGAAGAGTTCACCTCTTTTTTAAAATCTCAGACTTGATCAGAAGGCTCCATTTATAAAGCGGCAAACAAACTACCAGCCTCAGTGGATTAGTTCTAAACCTGAAACATGCAATTTGCACTTCCAGTTACTGTTAAAGTACCATTTAATATGGCTTGTTTGGAGCACAACTTGATTTGCATATGTTTTTAATGACTACAACAAAAAAAAAGAACTGTGAACTGATCTTAGCTCGAGGAACCAAGTTGAAATTCTTAATCTGAGGCTGAATATTTTTAGCATGGCTACTGCGGAGCAAGTGTATGATTAAATCAGGCACTGTGTTAAAGAGGTCTTTCAGCACTCAACAGCCTTTTTCTACTAGTTAAAAAACAAGATGACTAAGATTTATTACAAAGCCACAAGTTAATACACAACTTTATTTTTAGGTCATTTTGGTTGATATGCAGGAGACTTAGACCTACAATAGTTTTTATGTTTTTGTACTGAAGTACTGCCTTGAAATACCGAGCCATTCAGTCAGGCTCTGAACTGGATAAAATCAGCATATGCATTTAATTTTAAAAAGATTTTCAATGTTTGTTTCTAAATAACTGGTGTCTGTTGTCAATAAGCCACTCTTTTGCATGAATGCATTTAATCTTTGTGCTAACAGTTGAGATGTCAATGTCTGTATCACATACTAACTGGACTTATGGATGTTATGTTTTTTTTTTTAAATTTGTATTCAGAATCTTGATGGTCATGTGCATTTATAGCTGATAATGTAATCATCTTTGCACAGTCATGCAGAGTCTGGTCAGTACATATGGGGTTCTATCCCTGGTGCGTCTGCAAATTGTCATTGTCATTGTGTCCAGCAGCTGGAGACAGAGATAGCCCGACAATGTCCCTGAAAAACTGTCCACCAGATTACTAGACTGCCTTCTGATCCAGGTGTGATACGGGCAACCTGCTACTGAAGGGCACAGTCTCATCCTTATAGAAGTGTCATTGATAAAGCCTGAACAAAAGATAAACCAGAGGTCACATTTGATTCGGAAAGTTCGTAACTAACTGAACTGACCTGGAGGTATCAGGTGCAGCTAATGCAATAGTTCCTGGAATAAGCTTTAGGGAGACCATCCTTTCTGAAAGGACTAAGTACTAAGTGTTTGTTTTTGTGGATTTATCATTATGTCTTACATTGCTTTACATCATCTTGATACAACTTTATCTTACCAGGCTGTTTTTACCTCTTTGGCAGATTACCTCTGAGAAAAAATAGTAGTGTCTTGTCTTGCCAGTATTTTTGGCTAACTTGTCTTTGAAGTTTTTCCTAAGGCGACACAAGACGGTACACTCCGTGTATCTTTTTCTAATTCATTCATTAAGTAAAGCAAAGATGTGAATCTTTGCTTTACTTTAATGGTGTTTCCCTTTGAGGTCAAGAAAAAAACCCCCAAAGGGCTTAATTCTTGTGAAGGTTCAAATCTACCCCTGATCCTACTCAAGATCCAACTCATCAAAACAGGCCAATGGCAGCAGTGGATGACGTACTGTGCCCATGTGACGGTGGGTTCAGGGAAGCCATCTGCGTCACAGGCCAACAAAGCGGAGCTACCGATGTCTGCTGTGGCGTTGACGTCTGACTGCCTGGCACGGATGGTGGGGAGCACTGAAAAAGAGATGAAAAAAAATTATACAAGATAAGTTGTAGAGTACATGGAGCAAGCATAATTCATAAAGCACCTGCAAAGGGTGAAAATGCATCCCTAACTGTGCTGCAAAGCAAATAGCATCTTGGTGCTCTGGTGCTTTTTGAACAAATTAGGTAATATTTGGTCCACAATTGCCCAATTTTTATGCTTCATTGCAAAAGATGCGCAATAGCCCAATTGAGAAAACAACTCTAATAGTAGTTAATATTATTTGCATCTTCAGAGAGTTGGTGGTAACTGAGGTGTAAATATTACTGTGACCATTACAGAATATTGCAGATGAACATTTAACATCTTTTCTGAATCGCAATTCATGGTCATATATAAATTCGCTGAAAATTGGTGGTCTAACTTAAACTTCAAGTTCCTGCAGAATTCTGGGAAGCAATTAGCAGTCCAATCCGCCTTCTTATGGAATTATGTGATAAAATGTAAGCATGACATTTTGTGCTATACAAAGCCTTTTGGTTTTACCAAATAAAAAGAGTTGAGCCTGCCCAATAGATTTTGATATTTATAGCAGATATTTTGGCTTATGCATGGCTAAAGGAAACATCATGGGGAAGATCTAGGGACCACAAATGTCCATACCAAATGTCACAATAATCTGGACAGTAGTTGTGTTGGATATCTTGCTCGGGACCAAAGAGACAAGTAGACAGATGCACTGACACCATCATTCGGAGCGCAAAAAGGTGTATTTCCCAGTTTCATCTTTACTATGTTTAGCAACCATTCCTTTTTGACCACCAGGGCAGGCAGGGAGCAGAAGGTGAGAGCGATGCAGTGCTTACCATTAATGACGACCTTGATCATCTTGAAGTCAATTTCTCCCCTGGGCATGACGCGAGCCTCACAGTTGTACATGCCCTCATCTGTTTTCTTGATGCCGCGGATCTGCAGGTGGCCATTATCCATGATCTTGAATCGCACTACAAGAGGCAAACACAGAACAGTTAATTAACTACATATGGTATTCAAGATTATTAAGATTATCCTGACACAACAAAACAGCAAATTATGTATTTTCCCTCCAAGAACAAGTTAAAATTAGGAATGAGTTCTTGTCAGTGGATCAAAATCTAAATGGTAGGCCATGTTTGCATGCAATAGTTTGAAATCTAAGAAAAAGCCAACAAGCGCCTAACCGTGTGTAACATTAAGCATTAGTATTTCCTTGAATCTTGAAAATCCAAGTACCAAGTGTTCAAGGCGAGAATTTAAAACTTTCACTTAATGCTCAGACAGGAAGTTGGAGCCAGATTAAAAGTCCCAATTATCCCTGGTAATCACGGAAATGGTTGGAAGAACACAGAGAGCCCTGCACGACACCCTGGCTACACCAGACATATTTCAGCAGTGTTTTACAACGATCATAGAGCCTGACAAACAGTCGCACCTCTAATTAAACCAGCCATAAACACACAGTAAGAGTGAGCTGTCTTAACTGAAACCAGGTGTTTCTCCCACATTTATGGGGAAAATAATCCTTCATATTATTAAAATCCAGGGCTTTGACCACGTTGGATTTAAGAGCCATAAGACAATGAGCTGAGTTATTGTGTTTTATTTTTAAGTTCTAATTTGGGAAACTGAAAATTGCACTTATTTAAAATTCGTGACTGGCCAGTATGTACTTTACAACTCACTGGATTAATAATTGTGGCTATTTAGGGTGTACTTGTGAAGCGTAGCTTTCACAGGCCACTTGATTCCTTCTTTGGGGATGAGAGCTCCTCTGCAGGAGTCCAATGCCGCCAGTCCAATTTCCATGCTAATGAGTGGGTACAAGATTTCGATTTGTCCACCTATTTAATGGAGTCCACTGTGTAAACTAAAGAAAGCCTGTGTGCTATAAAATCACTTTATGCATATAATAATGTACTGAGTGCTAGAAGGGATGTTGGCTTGGGATAGTGGACATTTTCTTCCTATCACTTTTGGGATTTGAGAACTTTTCTTGGACAAAAAAATTCCCCTCTAAACTACTGTCACCATAACTCCCTGCCAGTCATGGAGGGTCTCTCAGTACATTTAGAGTACCTATACGCTGGGCAGAAATAAACTGAAAGAAGTGGTTGTCCACGTCTGAAAAGTGAAGCCTTAAACCTGCATTCTTTTTAACAACCAGCAGGGGCGACTCCATTGATTGCAAAAAGAAGTCCAATTGTACGTAAGCTTATGAGTAAATTACCCTACTTCTCTCGTAATTTCTTACCTCAGTAAACATTTTACTAATGGGTTTATGGTCTTAATCGCGAGTGTGAAGTCTACTTCTATAGAGCATGACGTTCATTTTGTAAATGACGGTCCCATTTGGAGTAAAATAGATGATAAAACAGGGTATGTTTTAGGGTGCGGCTACCTTGTTATTGACAAGTCTCTACCACGGCAAACTGACCTAACCAACCTAACAATGTGTATGCATGCACTGTGTACATTTAAACACACGGGTGCTGTCTAGGTTTTATCTTATAATTTTGACCCTGTGTGTTTATAGTTCATGAAAGTTAATTGCAACAATTTGATTGCCTTTTTCCGGTACATTTAGTTTTGAGCCAATTAACATCACTATTAACCTGAATTATGGATGCGACTTACTGACCAAGCAAGCTAGGTAGTGCTAGCATTAACTGATGACTCCCCAGTTCCACCCTCTTGTTTAAATATGGTGACTTCTGGCCAAAATGCCAAACTAGAGGCATCAAAATGGTTGTCTATAATGCCCACTTCTTTTATAAAGTCTATGGCAGAAATGGACAAAGCTGAATATAAATGGCTAACCTGACCACTTAAGTCCATGCTGCATTTTTAATGCCGGCCATTTTATCCTATTATAAAAGGACATTTTAAATAGTAGCTTTAATGTAGCTTAACACAGGTGTTACTAATGATATTAACAATGACTTACCTATTGTGATAATAGCCTATGAACCTCTATGATACAGTTACAGCGATTAATACTTGAGTATGATTACACGCTGCCTGAAGTAGTAGGACAATCACTGCCACAAACACTATATCCCCACAGTGCTTCATGTACTGCAATTTTACTGTCACATCCAGCATCTGGCAACCACGCAGTGCTCCCTTCCTGGGATGCGCCTCGAGCAGCAGACATACTGGTTAGTTAATTAATTTGCATTTTACACAATAAACCTAAAAGTATAATAAGGGCACATTCTGCATTATGACGCCTTTTACTACTGACACCGGTGCATTTAGCTGTTAATATTTGCTTTAGGAAATTCTAAATGCAGGATTTATACTAATGTAGTATTTGAACATTAGGGTCCAAAACAAACCTGAACACATCTTTCACCACTGATTTCCACAATATTGCCTGCTTTCTGCTTCTCGTCTGCATGTACATGTAAATGAGTAAAAAATGTGAACTAAAAGATTCAGAGTGTAAAAGTAATGTCAAAATATTTTAAGTCAAACCTTTTTTGAGGGGTTAGTGTGGTATTTAAAGAGAAAAACAAGCTCTTAATTCATGTTACATTGACACATATTACAGTGACAAAGTTGTGATGGGAGGTTTAACAATGCAACATGCAACACATGGTTAGGTCAACTGCTGCTCTAAGGAAAATTACATAAGCAGTTTTAAGTTTTCACTGTCGGTTACAATTAGTGGTTTTTCCAGTGAAAAACACATTCCTTGACCAGATTCCAAGAATAAAGGCGGGCTTAGCACAACACTGTGGTGACTCCAGGCTATCCAGCGGTCACCAAAGGAGGGGTTACTGTTAGGTTAAAATAGGCCCAGTCCAAGTGTGAAACAAAACCCAGCCTCCTGCCTCATCGCCGCCTCAGTCCTCACACAGCAGACTGGAGATTTGAACTCTCTGAGGTAGAGCTGCTTTGGACCAATGTTGCCGATGATCTCTGCTGCCAGAAACTTGCCAGGTGAACTCATTCACAAAAATTGTTCATGAATACATCTACTACATCACCCCCCCCCCCCCCCCCCC